TAAAGTTGGCATTATAAAGATTATAAAATATTGAATACTACTTTACTTTGAGTCAGAAAACTCAACTTAATCATAACCATGCAACCAATTACAAGTACAAACAAGAGTTTGCACATTTTCTAAAAATAAACAATTTCTATACTTGTTTATGATACAACCACCAATGCTAGATGAAGATTCGAAGCGACGAATGTTGTAATTAGAATGCATAAAATGTCACATAATCACAAGATCAACAAGATGAGTAGAATGCTTAAAATATCCCATAATTAAAAAAATGCTTAAAATGTCACAAAAAATAAACAAAATGAGTGTAATGATTAAAATGTCACAAAATCAACAAAATGAGTTGTTACTGATCGTTTTAGTTTTGAAAGGTTATAGTTGTCATACATCGAAATCAAACATATCTTATAAGAAAGATTAGATAACACATTTTTACCTTTATATATATATATATATATATATATATATATATATATATATATATATATATATATATTAAATACACGTTATTGGTTTAACATCGGGATTCAAAACTTTATTTACCTCTCAAACTCCCTCCTTATCTTAAATGATTGGTCCCTCAAAATAAATGTAACCACACTGATATAAAGAGAAATGAGAAGACAAAAGAAAATAAAAGTATATGTTTAGAGTTTATTATTCTTTCTAAATTACACACACACACACACACACATATATATATATATATATATAATATAATATATTATCAAATTAATTTATTATACATATATTTTTTAATAAAATAATATTACTTTTACTTTATTTTATTTTTAAAATAATTATTATTTTATAAAATGATCGGTCTATAAACTTACGGACTAGCATGGTCTAATGACTTAAATAAGTTAGGCCAAAATTGGTCTAGTTTTATTTAGGCCATAAATTTTTTTATCTAACCTGGCCTATTATTCAGGCTCACCCATCGAACTAACCTATTTTAACACCTTACAAATAATAACATACAATATTAAACACTATTATTATATTATTAAAAATACTTGTTATTTTACTATCTAATTTTACTAATATAATAATAGTAATTATTATTATATTATTAAAAATGTTACCAATCCAATATATATTCTAAATTCGATTGTGAATGCATCATCGCTCGTTTTATTTATTTGATTTGTATTATTATTTTATATTTTTTTTATAAAATTAAGTAAAATAAGTTAATTATGATGTACGATAAATACAATTAAATCTATTTTTGTACTCGATGGTCAATTCGTCTAGTTCAAGAAAATTTTTGTATCTCTCCATTGTCTTTGGTGAGGCTTACACCCCATAGAAATTGTGTAATTGAGACTGTCCCTCGGCCTGTAGTTCTAAGACAAGATTAGAATTCTACCTCTTTCTTTGATGGTTTTGGCCCCTTAGAAGAAGGTCTTCATTTCCCTCTATCTAAGCTCCATAGAAAAAGTCAAAGTCAATCTCAATAATCAGTTAAACTTCATCGGATCTTTTTGTCCAAGTATTGATGTTTATTTTATCGAATCTCTTATATTTAATCGAGTCAATTGAGTTAGATATTTTTAATTTTTAATAAAATATAAATATCTATAAAAAATTATTTTATTTACTCTAAAAAAAATTATGTAAGGCTTTATTCATATTTCGAAGAAATGTGATTCATTGCCCATGTTTCATTGTAACATATATGTGAGGTAAAAACTAAACAAAAAAAAATGAGTTTCACTCTAAACTTTAAAATCATTGTTTTTTTATACCTAACTATTTTTTATAAGGTCTTATTCTAATGGTTAATTTTCATAATTTATTATTTCTTAATATCAAATTTTATAATTTACTACTCTTAGGTTACCTTTTGCTTTCAAAAAGGATACAATACAAAAAAAAAAGAATTAAGATAAGATTAACTTTTATTATCTTGTATAATTAATTGTATTAAAAGTAATATAAAAAAGAAAATTTACAAAAAATGTTGCGCATCCGGGGAATCGAACCCCGGTCAGTACCGTGGGAGGGTACTATGATACCACTACACCAGATGCGCTTGTTCGTTAATGTGCAAAATATTAAAGTGTTTAATAATTATCAATGTTAAAAATGTTTTTTATTCTCTTCTCTTTACACCAAATTTTATTTTGTTTTTTATTTTTAAAATTAACTATTTTTAATTATTCCATGTTACCTTTTAAAATAATTTTATCGTTTTCAATTTTAGAATTTTCGATTTTTAGTCATGATGGAAAATCTGAATATTTTTATTAGATTCACCTAAAATAAATTAATTTAAAAAAAACAACATAAATATGATAATAATTTAGTAAATAATAGATATGATTTTAATTTTTTTTACCCATTTTTTAACTTGATATTTGCCTGTTTAGTATTTTCAATGAAAATTACTTTTTGAGATATTTAAATAAAGTATCTTTATTATAATAATTTTTTATTAGAAAAATCATATGTAACATAATAAGTACTTCAACTTTTTTTTTAATAGTTATTTCATTAAACATCTTACAAAATATAAACAAATTAAAATAAATATAGAGAAAACAGTAGAGAAAATAGATTCTTTAAAAAAAAAAAAACTTTTAAATAATGTGTTATTATAAATTTCTAATTTTTTTTAAGGTATGTAAGTAAATCATAAAATTTTTCATCTTTTAACAAGTTAAAAGATGCGCGAATGACAGTTGAAACCTAAACTTTGCTATATTTTACTAATTTCTTAGTGCTATTATAGAAAATGGAAAGATTTATGGGTAAATACAAAAAAATGATAGGATGAAATATCATTTATATAACTTCTAATATATCTAACTTTTTTTATTTAAATACAAAAAATGGTAAAAGTTGGAGAAAAATAGTTATGAAATATATAGTATAACTTCTGTTTTAAAATATTTGTGATGCATAAATGATTTTCATAAATGAATTTCATTAAGCTGAATTTAATCATATACAATTCATTTATTGGAATGGGTTGAGTTCACTTTTTTATTTTTATGGAAGAACTCTTTTTTTTTTTCAAAGCCATCCAAGTTTTTGCATAGATCATGTATTGTATGTATATATATATATATATATATATATATATATATAAGTAAAAATATTATAAAATATTAAATATTAATAATATCTCAATCATAATTACCTAAATTAAAATAATAACATAATATCTTTTTATCTTCACTCTTAAGACTAAATAAAATCTCTTAATACCTAATTTAAATAAAAGATAATAAAGTAATATTTCAAACATTCTTCTTTACTTTAATATCTATTTATTTAAATTTGATATTCTTCCTTTTATTTTTAGAATTTTTTCTCCTTTGTTTGTACTTCTTGTCATCTTCCTTTTTGTATAGAATCATATCTTTATTCAACCTCATTTTCTTCATTAAAGCATTTCTTCCTTTATAAACTTCATCTCCTTTATTTTCAAACTTCATGGTAGTATCTTGTTAATTTTTTTATGAACATTAGAAACAGTTTCTTCATCTACATCTTTATTTTCCTCCTTAACATCAAGTTCCTTCAAGAAATATTCTTCCTGCTTTTTCTTTTCGTTTGTAATCAACTCTTCTTTCATCAAATCTAAAGTAAATTTTTTTCCTTTCATGTGAACTTTGAATATTTCCAAATTATTTGTATCTTCAATCACACAAAGTTTGTGTTCAAAAAACACCTTATAACTTTTCTCTAATAATTGTGCAATACTTAACAAATTATGATTAATATCAGGAACATATAAAACATCAAAAATTAATTTGATACCCGAATGACTTTTAGCTATAATTGTTCTTGTATCTTTCACATCTATTTTCGTTAAATTATTTGAAAAAATTCTCGATCATGAGTCATGTGGTTTGTACAACCACTGTTAAGCCAACCGGTGGATTTATTGATTGTAGAACATGTTGATGCAAGGAGATGTATCCTTTCTACTTCATCCTCTATAACTTAAACGATTATCTCTGGTTGTGATTTGCATATCTTTTCTATATGTCCCAATTGACCACATTTATGACATTTCACATCATGCATCCGCCAACACTTGTTGGGTGTATGATTATTTTTCTTGCAATAAGGACAAACAGAAAATACTCGTGATTTTGTACTTTGTTGTTCTTGGCTTAGAGAGAACCCCCATCATGATATAATAAAAAACCTTCACTAGTAGCATGATCTCCTCTCATCAATCTTCATTGCTCTTGCGCTTGTAAAGCATGTAACACTCGAATTTTCTCGTCCCATTCGTATTGATCTTTCAAAGAATTCCAAATTTCTTTAGGTGACTTTGGCGTCATAATTCTGGTAAAGATCATTTGTGAAACACCAGCAAACAAAGATATGATTTAACTTTTGTTTTTCTTGTGTTTCTTTCTCTGTGAAAGTTCATTTGAACTATGGTAGAATTTTCAAGTAACATATCAACAATATAATCTTCTTCTACAACATCTCATGCATCAAATCCTTCAAGATAAGATTGCATTCTCACAACCCATAAATCATAAATTTCGTCATCACCATCAAAAATTAAAATAATGAATTGTAAAAAGTTTTTTCTCCTTCTATTGTATCGAACCAAAGTTCTAATACAGATTTTATGTTGTGTATTTCTGATATATCACGTGAGTATGTTTCTATTAATGTACTCTATGTATACATAGAGTAAAAATATTATAAAATATCAAATATCAATAATATCTCAATCATTACTTATTAAATTAAAATAATAATCTAATATCTTTTTATCTTCTTTTTTAAAAGATAATAAAATCTCTTAATACCTAATTTAAATAAAAGAAAATAAAGTAATATCCTCAACAAGTTTTGCTTGTATCCACTGTAGTAGGGTAAAATGAGCTATCAAATATATCATAGTCCATGTATAAATCTCATTTTCTTCTTATTTCAGGTAAATAAATGTAATTTTGAGGTTCCAAGAATGATACATTGTACCGTACAGTACATATACATATGCATGTTATGTTTTATTTTTTCTCAGGAAGCTTCTCCAGTAACTCTGGTATCACCTCAAACAGATCTCCGACAAGTCCATAGTCAGCTACCTGCAATTTTTAACATAATTCACATAAATTAGTCAAAATGGTTTTCTTCTTCGAATGGTTTATCACCAATATAGTATTGAAGTTGGATTTACTTAAATACTCAGTTTTATTAATTTTTTCAGTAAAATATATTTGATGATGGTAGCTTTTACACTCCATTAATGCCCTCTCTCATTGCACACGTCTTTTGGATTTTATAAAGCAACAAATAATTAGAAACAAACTAAAACTTTTTACGTGACTATTACTTTGAAATAGAGAGTAGCTTAGCTTGATCCCTTTAGAAGAGAGCCATTACCTGAAATATAGGAGCATCAGCATCATTGTTCACAGCAACAATGACTTTGGAATCCCTCATCCCTGCCAAATGTTGAATAGCTCCAGATACACCAAAAGCCATATAGAGTTCAGGGGCAACTATCTTTCCGGTTTGCCCCACCTGCATATCAAATTCCCAATCGGAACCATGGACATAAGAAGAACACTGTATTAGGCCATGAATAGAAAATTGAAGGGCTTACTGAGATTCAATACAAAGCATATTACATGCATATGCAAAACAGCTAGTATATTTTCAGCTTTTAATGCATTAAATTGATATGTGAATTTTAAAATTGTATTCCTCTGCTGCATTAGTAGCGTAACCGTTAGAGCCAAGGTTGTAAAAGAGGAATCTAAAATGAGATTTCATTCCTCTTTTCAAATTCAGATTTGCTTTTGTGTGTGCAAGAGTAGATGTGGCATGGAGTAAATCTTGAAAGGAAGTAAAGTTGTCACCTGGAGATCATTAGGAACGTATCCTGCATCAACGGCAGCCCGAGTGGCGCCAACTAAGCAAGGGAGAACGTAGTTAGCCGATTTTACTTAATTCATATGACAAAGAATAAAATGTAAAAACTGATAACGGTGAAACAAGCCATCATATGTCAATAAACTAGGAATTAAAATCAGGAAGCATATAGTAAATCTTGCAAAACAGAAAAAACAAGTCTCTAGCCATTGAAATAAGTATCATAATAGCTTATATAGAAAACAATACCAGCAGCACCAAGTTTCTTGGCTAGTTCTTCTATCAATTTAAAGTTCTCAGCACTCTTTAGTGCTCGGCCACCAGTCACTACAATCCGTGCATTCCCAAGATCTGGTCGTTCCTCATCCTGAGAAGTTTGAGATATATATGTAGACTTGCCCAGATCTGCCCAAAAAGAGAGAAAGAACGAGAACAATTTAAGATTCTTTCACCATAGTAGAGGTTCAAGTATCAAAGTCTGACAGGTGGTAATTGATCAATGACATGTAAATGACTGAGACTATTACTTGTAATATTGTTAAACTATTGCTCTTCAAACATCCAAGCAGGATTTATTATCAACAGATAATTATGGACAAAATGCACTTCTGTCTTTTCAATTTTCCATAAAATAAAATGTCAATGCACCAACAACAAAATAACAGACCTGCGTCAAAGGTTGAAAGGTCAACCTGAGATATTGAAGCCTCATTAGAGTCAACTGATTTCTGATGAACAGGAAACGATGTGGATCTAATTGTTAATATACAAGGATTGGCCCCAGTATATCGAACAGTACAAAGTGCATTTCCAGCATATATTGGCCTGTATAAGAAATCAAAATCTCACATTTTGTTAGACAAAGAACCCTTCATGTATTCATGCATAATGTAGAAGCAGGAATAAATCGAATACAAGAAGTGTGCTGCACAATTTGCTGCCAAAACCACAAAAAGGAAAATGAGATACATCCCTACTCTGTTATTAGCCATCTCTTCAACTATAAATATGCCTTACCACATTCAAACTCATTTGTTCTAAAATTTTAAGACTAAGATAATTTCTGAAGAGGTTAATTTTATCAAAAGAACATATAAATAAGTTATAAGAATAATTGTTCAGGAACCTTCAGTGGTTTACTTTTTCTACACTTTATTTAGTAGTAACCCTTAAGAAAGAGCAGAAAAGTTTTCCCGGTAAGCATGAACCACCATCCATATTTATTGCTTCAGTCCCACCTACGAGTCAGGATTATCACTAGCTCATACCTATTCTAATGTCTTATTATCCAGAGCCAGAAGTTATCTAAAGCAAATATGCTCTGATAGCAATACCTTCCCAGAGTTCAAAAATCCCAAGACAATCCAGGTTTGTCATTGTCTACACTCTCTCTGGACTTCAACTTACCATTAGATCTCTAAGCAGTCAATGCTTTGTTTACAAATATTTCTTATAAACATGAAGAAAGAATGAGAAAAATATTAACAGCATTCATTATTGAGTTGAGCTGAAGAAAAGCTGGTCATACTAAAACTGCGACCAAGTGAAACATACTGAGGTTCATAGCTAAGGCACCAAAAGTTAATCTTCCCAGCCTTGCATTTCTATTATTGTTATGCAACTAATCTTTCCAATGTTTCATAATATAAGACAGTAATGAAGACTAAGAATATGATGCATCAGTGGTAATTTTATCATTTGTACTAAAAAAGCCTTGAAAACTAGAATCTTGATTGTAAATGTTGGAGTGGACTACGGTAAAACAGTTTAATTTTAGATACAGTCCAAAATCAGGGAGATCTTCCATGAAATCCATGACATGAACATGAGTACTACCTGGCAAAGGCTATAATAGAAGTAGTATGGCTCCCTCATTACAATTAAAACAGTCAATAACAACTCGCATGATAATACCCAACGGGGATCTTGCTATGACAGATTTAATAGTAGGTGATCACCATCAAAACTTACAGCAAACAGCCAGGTTCTAGTTATTAAAACATTAAAGATAAAAAAAAAAAAACACAGAACGTCGTACCTCACAAAAGTATTGGAATCCGAAATTCCAGTAACATCAGTAATTGGAGAAACATCTAAAAGAGCAGCTGCACGCGGCATGACATTTTTCCCAAAAGAATTTGCAGCAGCAAATATGTGAGAGTAACCACCACTCTGCTGAACCAAATGAACTAATTTAGCCCAAGGCTCTGCCAGAGGGTTCTTGAATTTATCTGAATCTGCCACAAGCACCTACATCACAAGCAGCAAACCCACCCTAAACATCAAAATCCTGAAAATCAATCTTCCTTTTCAACACATATCTTCACCTTTTCTTAATAACAAAATCTCCATTTCCTTTTCCACTTATCAACCATTTCAAGCTCAAGACAAATATCCAAAGTACAAAAACATGAATGAATCCCTCCCACTCATCTATACCATATTTGCAATATTACAATATCAATCAAGGACAACAGTAATTAACATTAAAACATTAGCGGTAATTATTAAAAATTAGCCAACATAGAAATAGAAATCCGCACTATCTTGCACTTGTGCTTTAGCTCCTGAATCTACTTATCATCAATAGCTTATTTTGAAGAAACAATCATTTTTAAGATAAATTTTCACAGTAGAAATAAAAACAATTAGGGCCTATTTGGATGAGTTTCTTCTTAAGGATTTCTAGGAGGAAAAATATATAAAAAATAAATAAAATAAATTGACTTCTCCAGTTAAAATTAGTTCATGCATAAGTTAAAAATAAAAGTATGAAAGAACCCTTACACATAAGTTTATGTATAAGCTAATTTTAACTAAGTTGAAGTCAATATCATTTTTTTCTCTCCTGAAAGTACTTTTGTTCAATCAGTCCCTATTTGTTTAAATTCCCAAATACCCCTCAAACATGGATTCATTTTTATTTATTTTTTTCCGTTTGATCACAAACATAATTTTTCACAGGCAATCTTGTCCAAATTAAATAAAACTACCTGGAAAACTCACTCATTAAACCTGTTGTATTAATTTTTTTTTACTTTCAAAATTAAAAATACAAAAATATACTCTTGAACTCGAAACCGCTGTTAACTTAGAACCACTCGGAGCTAGTAGTTAATTTTAAGAGTTATTTTGAATATATACTCTAAAATAATCCTAATTACATAATTTTTTTTTTCTTTTTAAAGTTTGGGTTACCTTGGAGATTGAAGGGTGGCACGAAGCAGCGTGTGAAGCAGCTTGCTGAAGTGAAGGACCGGACCCGGCCAAGAGCACCGAAACGGAAGAGTCAGGGTCGGGAAGACACGTGGCAGCGGCAAGTGCAGAGAGAGAAGGGGGTTTGATAACGCCACCTTCGTGTTCCGCCACAACGAGCGTGCTACCCTGCAACAACAACAACGTAGTGAATAGAGTAACACACATAAGAAGAAATGGATCAAAAGTAGCTTTCTTTTTTTGGGATGAATCTATACGTGTCGAAAAATGGAGTGGCCGGGGAATGCTGGGCACGAAACGGCGCGTTTCTTGATAACTCGGAGCAACGCGCCAGTGGCCATTGATTCTTGACCGAAGCGTGCGAGTGGTGCAGATGATTGTTTTGTGATGCCGTTGATGGTGAAATGAAAAAAACGGTGCCGTATTGGCTTAGGGAAGAGTGTGAGAATTGTAAGATGATGATAAGTACAACGATGGCGCTGACGTGTGTGTTTTTTAATGTTATTTCTCTAACTGGTAGCTGCCATGTGCGTGAGGGATGGAGGTTCTCACTTTTGATTCGGCGTACGAAAATCGTTGCCAAACAGAGAGGATCGTGGGGAAAATAAATTTAGTTAAAATATTTAAATAAAAATATTAGTTACTTAAATTAACTAACAAAAAATAAGAAATAAAATTATTTTTTTAAACAATTTATAAAAATAACAGTAAATTATTTTAAAATAATATAACATTATAATCTATTTTATATTTTTTAAGATAAAAATAATTCATGTAAGTTGTTTGATGTGAGCTATTTCTATTTGAGATATTATAAAAAAACACCGATAATAAAATTATATAAGTTAAAATTAATTTATAGAATTTTTTTATATTAACTTTTCGAAAATAATTTGATATTTACTCAGTGTTCATCAACGGGATCTTGCAATAAAGATTACAATGTGATAGATCTTGCAATGAATCATAATGTGATGAGAATATCAAAATTATAAAATTAAGATATTATCAGAACTATTTATTTATTATGTAATATAGTTTTGTCATTCTTATTTAATACTAAGTACAAAACAATTAATTTGGATACAAAACCATTGACCCTTTTATTTTCTTGGTTGAGAAGAAAAATAATGTTATATTTTAAAAAAGTTATCAGATATCTTTCTCAATTTATACTTAGTCTGTTAAAAATATATGCCTTTTTTTTATTGTGTTGGAAACCTAAAGTTATTTCCCAGAACATGTTTCCCACTTTTACTTTAAAACATGTGTTCAACTTTTAGTCAAATATGGTCTTAGATTTATTATCTTTAAAGATATATTAGTGATAATTAAAAATATGAACAAATTATTAATAAAATTATCATTTAGCTAAATTAGTAAGTGTTTTAATAAATATGAAAAATTAAAAGTATGTTATATTCAGAAACGAAAGAAGTATTTGGTTAACATTAATTGTATTCATTAATAACCAATTTCTAACGTAAAATATTTTGGAGGATTAGTCAAAAACAATTTATTAATTTGATGTTTTTAAACAAAATAATTTATTGCATATATGTTGTTGGAGTTGATTCGTGAAATTCAATTTGTTAGGATGGTAATAAATACTTTTTGACCTTTCAATTTATATATTAATAAATGCTTATTTTAATTCTTGTAATATATATATATATATATATATATATATATATATATATATATATATATATAGTTCCAAACATCTAAAATTATAAAAATTAAAGATTAAAAATATATCATATATATACTGAAATTATTAATTTAAAATATAAAAGTTAATATAGGATTTGTTCTAAGACTAAATAAATAATTAAACCTAAATTCTAAGACATTCTCATTTTACTAAAATAAAAAGTAGAAAATTAAACACCTTCATTCTCCACCCTCTAGTCCTTCTATACAATCTAAAATATAAGATTTTATTTAATTTATCGTACCTTACAATCTTAAATATCGCAATTTTTTCTTCTCTCGCAATTTTTCACTTTTAAAATCTTCTAAGTTCCTGCATTTTGAAAATTTTTACTTTTTCTTTAATGTAAAATCTTAATTAAACATAAACATTAAAGATATTCTTAGAGATTAAATGAACAAAATAATTTTATAAGATTAAAAATAAAATGTTTTAATCATAAGAACTACAAACAAAATTAAGTTCACTTTTTGATAAAATTAAGATTTTTTTTTCACGTATAATTCTACATACTAAAATATACATAACTTTTTAAAATAATTATTATAAAATCTAACAAAATTATTATAAAGTTATAATTTTAACACTTTTAATGTACTTTTAAATTAGATTCATAAAGTCGTGCAATTTTATAACTTAAATATATTTTTACTCAAATATATGAGCTATTCAAATTCAATTTCCCACACAATTTAATTAATAATTAAACATATTCAAATTTTTTTAATATATTCGATATTTTCGTCACCCTGAAGAGTGTGTCCGAGAGAGAAAGAGAGAGAGAGGGGGAGAAGAAGATACAGCAGAAAGAGAAGCTCCTCCGATCTACAATCTATAGCTATTGCGCTTTCTGTTTCGGAGACATTTCTTACTCTCTCGTTCTCTCTCACTGTGATTCCACCTTTTCGCCACAATGATTTCTGCAACTAAGCTCAAATCCGTTGATTTTTACAGGTCGGAAGCTCTCTCCGTTCTCCTTTCCGTTTCAATTTGCTTGCGAATGTGCAGAATAGTTATTTTCTGTTACAGATTAGTTGTATTTTGATGTGTTCATTGTTAAGCTCTTTGGATAACGGTTCAAACCGAAGTCCACATCGTAAGAGAACACGGATACTGCTGTTTTTTCGGTGTCTGTGTGCAAGAAGAACTTGTCCATTGCCTAGATTCGCGTCTTGTTTTATGATTCAAAGTGTTTCGTTGTAAATTTTTGTAGTATTTTTGTGGATATGGACATTACCGCTTGCGATGTCAATTTTATGAGTAATTTGTGAACACGGGTTGCCTCTGTTTTTATTTTTTTTAATAATTAAGAATGATTTTGTTATGTGCTTCTTGTTGACTTGTGTCAACAGAAAAATCCCGAGAGATTTGACGGAGGCGTCGTTATCGGGAGCGGGATTATCCATAGTGGCAGCTCTCTCCATGATGTTTTTATTTGGAATGGTCAGTAGCTGAAACCTCCGTCATGTTTATGACTTGTGAATTGTTGAACAAAATATTGTATTTTAGATTGATTTAGGTCCTATACAGCTTATGATATTAGACCTCTAATTACGAACAACTTCTTTTTAGTTTTGCCAAATTTCGAAGTTAGAATTGCTTGTTCAAGTTTCATTTTGATATTTGTCTTGCATCCTTGTTTCAGGAACTAAGTAATTATTTGACTGTTAGCACCTCCACATCTGTGATTGTTGACAAGAGTTCTGATACTGACTATTTACGTATCGATTTCAATATCAGGTAGAACCAATGTAGGCATTTGCTGTCTTTGGTTGAATAGGATGTTTTTCAAAGATGGTGGATTCTCATGTCTTAACTATTGTTTAATATTATATATTTACTAGTGGGTTTGTGGTTTTCTTGAGTCTTGGTATGAACTTGTCATGGTACAAGGAATGCATGCTTCAATCTACTTCTATATTTGCAAATTGAGGCTTGTTAGGGTTTGATAAGTTGTTTACTGGGTATTGATTAATTCATTGAACAAAATGGTCTTGAGTTTGACTAGAAGCTTGAAATTCACTTAGGTAGTTTTCGGATAGAGCATTCAACAATTTTAAGGAATTTAAAATGCATGGAAATTTAATTTCTTAAATTAAATTATTTTCATTTTCAAATTTTTAATAAAGAAATTCAAATTCTTTGTTTGAATAAAATAAATTAATTTCTATTATATGTAGAACTTCATTTTTCAATATTTATTTAAAAAAAATGCAGAAGAGAGATAGAGAGGGAAAGAGAAACAGATGGGCAAAAGAGTGAGAGCGAGAGGGAGGTGTGAAAGAGAGAGGTGTAGAAGAGAGGGAGAGACACTCAAACAAAAGTGATAGAGGGGAAGAGGTGCAAGAGAGAGTGCACTCACCAAAGCTTTGGGCTGTGAGAGTTGTCAGGGAGACCATGAAAGAGAAGGAATTTTCAAATTCTTTCGTTTTTTGACATTATATGAACACCATCATATTACTTTTAAACAAACCCCCTATCAACTTACCATCACATTAAAAATTCTTTGGAATTAAGATCCAAACGAGTCATTTGGATATGTCATTTAAATTAACTTTAAAATTAAAATTCTCTCTTAAAAGTCCACGTCCAATCACCCTGTGATAGAGTTCATATATACATTAGAAGCCTAGGCAATAAAGAAACATGTAATTTTAAGAAAATATAGTAATAGCATAATCTGGTCACGTAATTAATCCATAAGAAGGCTTGAGTCAATGATTTCCTTTGTTGAATATAGTGAAAACTAGGTATAAGGTTAATTCCCTTAGTGTCTAAAATACACATAAAATAATATATTTATAGTTAAGAGTTATACAAGTAAATATGGTAAATGCATTTATTATGACTAATAATATCTAAAATATCTACAATATCTAACACTCCCCCTCAAGTTGATGCATATAAATCATATGTACTAAGCTTGTTACAAATATAATCAATTCTAAGTTCCCGTAAAGACTTAGTGAAAATATCTATTAACTGTTCACTTAAGTTAACAAACTTGGTTTAATATCTTCAGATACAATATTTTCTCAAAATGACAGTTAACTTTAATGTGCTTCGGTCCTTTAATGAAAGACAAAATTAGAGTTAATATGAAGAGCAAACTGATTGTCACATATAAGTATCATTTGAGTAACATCTCCAAATTGTAACTCTTTAAGTAATTGCTTAAGCCAAACAAGTTTACAAGTGGCTGAGGCCGTAGCTCTATATTCTGCTTCTGTACTAGATCTTGCTACAACACTTTGTTTCTTGCTCTTTCAAGAGATTAAGTGTCCTCCAATAGAAACACAATATCTAGAAGTAGATCTTCTATCAGAAGGAGATCCTGTCTAGTCAGCATCTGAGTAACAGACAACTTTAACCTGGTTATTGTGATCATATAACAACCCTTTTCCAGGAGATCCTTTAATGTACTTGAATAAACGGATGATTGCATTCCAATGATTTGCACATGGAGAATTAAGAAATTGACTCACTACACTAACTGTAAAGAAAATGTCGGGACAAGTAACAGTACATAGTTTAATTTTTGAACTAATCTACTGTACTTCTCAGGATTTGAGTGATACTCTCCCTGATTAGGTAGGAGTTTGGTATTGGGATCCATGGGTGTGTCAACAGATTTTGAGTTCATTAACCAGTTTCTTCTAAAATATCTAATTCATGCTTTCTTTAAGATATAACAATACCATTATTGGATTGTACTACTTCGATCCCCAAGAAATATCTAAGTTTGCCAAGATCTTTAGTTTGAAAATGGTGACAAAAGTGTTATTTCATCTGGGAGGGGCCATGGTGATCACTCCCTGTAAAAACAATATCATCAACATATACTATTAAATAAATACACGCAACACTTGAGTGATGGTAAAATACTGAATGGCCTGCCACACTACGAGTCCTACAAAACTATTGAATAACTACTAAATTTTTCAAATCAGGCCCTAGGACACTGGAGGTTGCTCCATATAAATTTTTTCCTGCAAATCTCCATTAAGAAAAACATTTTTGACATCCATTTGGTAAAGAGACCATTGTTGAAGAGCAGCCATGATTATGAATAAGCGAATAGAAACTATCTTGGCCACTGGAGAAAAGGTGTCACCATAGTCCAAACAAAAATTTGTGTGTAACTTTTGATCACCAAGCGAGCTTTAAGACGGTCAATAGTACCATCAGGACTAACTTTGATAGCAAACACCTACTTGCAACCAACAACAAATTTTTCAGACTAAAATGAGACAAGTTCCCAAGTTTCACTATTCTGAAAAGCATTTATTTCATCAAGCATGGCTTGACATCCAACCAGGATGGGCTAAGACATCACCTATAGATTTGGGAATTGACATAGAAGAAATGGACAAAAGGCAAGTATAAAAAGGTGGAGATAATCTATTGTAACTCAAAGCAGTATAATGAGGAGAGAGATCACAAGTAGAACATATACCTTAACGGAGGGTGTTGGAAGTCCCACATCGCCTACTTCATTTCATTTGGTATGGCTTAAATACCTAGTAGGTTACTTCACATATTGCTAATTGGTTTTATGTTGGAACCTTAACATGGTTTCAGAGCTAAAGCCTAACTTTTTTCCGGTTATTATCTTGGGCCAAAAGTTACCCTTTCTTTGTAGGTCAAAAGTACCCTTGCCTGGTTCAACAGGCTTCGTTAGGCGGGGCATGTTGGAAATTCCACATCGCCTAATTCATGTCATTTGGTATGACTAAAATACCTGTTAGGCTACTCCACATATTGCCAATTGGTTTTATGTTGGAACCTTACCAGAGGGCAATTGGAAGGTCAAACTCATTTGTCAGAACCTAGGAGAGAAAGGAGTTGGCGCAGGATGTGAGTCATTTGGTGGTTGTTGAGATCGTTGTCTTTGATTATAAACCTGAAGTGGTGGTGGTGGAGGAGAATCCAAAGGTGGGTTAATAGGAGAATCATACATAATAGGAATATTGATAGTAGCAGACGGTGACACACATGGAGAAGAAGGACACTTAAAGTAAAAGGAAGACTTATTAAAGATGACATTTTTAGAAATAAAATAACGGTTAAGAGAAGAAGATAAACACTTATATCCTTCTTGTGATCGAGTTATTCCTAAAAATACACATTTGTGTGATTTAAGAGATAATTTATCAAGACCAAAATTAAAATTATGAACAAAACATATAAACCCAAAAACTTTAAGAGGTAAGGGTTGTATGAGGAAATAAAAGAGAATGAGAAATTTTGTTATTTAGAACTGAATATAACATGCAAGTAATAAGATAACAAGCAGTAAGAACAACGTCACCCTAAAAATGTTTAGGAACGTCACCATGAATTAAAAAAGTGAGTTGTTTCAACAAAATGTCTATTCTTGCGCTCAGCCATCCCATTTTGTTGAGGTATATAAGCACATAAAGTTTGATGAAGAATGCCATGAGAAGTCATAAAATGTTTAAAAAGGTATTCACAACCATTATTACTTTGCAAAATTTGGATAGAAATCCCAAATTTAGTTTTAATTTCATTAAAAAAGAATTGAAATATAGAAAACAACTCAGAACGATTTTTCATTAAAAACAATAAAGTACTTCTAGAATAAACATCAATAAAAGTAACAAAATACTGAAAACCTAAATTAGACTTAACACAACTGGGTTCCCAAATGTCGGAGTAAACTAATGCAAAAGGGGACGAAGTATGTTGTGAGACACTACGAGAAAATGAACTACGACAATGTTTTCCTAAATGACATGACTCACATAATAAACTAGATAAATTGGACAAATTGGGAATAAGCTGCTGCAATTTGGCAAGGCTGGGGTGACCTACCTGAGCATGGAGGAGGGATTGAGACTCCATAACTGTACCAACATGTGTAGAAGGGCGAGATGATAAAGATCATGAGACTCATATCCGGTGCCAAT